TATTCCTCCAGAAAAAAAGTTTAAAAGGGCGGGTGGCAAGGCTAATGGCGACTGTTACCAGAGCGGGGCTGGCTGCTCATAAAATCCAGTCTTCTGCCTCGATCCACAGTGATCTTGGCTATTAGTCCGGATCTAGCGAGCCTCAAACATGATCCTTTCCCAAGGATCTTTTTGGGGATTCTTGAAATCCCCTCTACCCCACCCAGGCGATCCGCGGAGAGCCCTCACTGCGAACCGATCGCCTTGCCATCCCCCACCGGAAGTCGCAGATAAACCACATGCAGATTTTCTTTTAGATGGTTTGGTGTGCTCCATTATCCATCGTATGTTTGCAATGTGGTCCCCAGTGCTTCTTCCTTTCTTAAATCCAGCTTGTACCTCTAGGATTTCTTGCTCCGTATATGAGTCTTTGCTGCAGAATTTTGAGCATTACTTTGCTTGCATGGGAAATTACTGCAGTGGTTCTGTAGTTACCACAATCTTTTTTGTCTCCTTTTTTAATATATGGATAAGTATATGGATTGCTTCCAGTCAGTGGGTGACTGTTTTTTTTGTTGTTGTTGTTTTTTCCATATTTCCTGGAAGATTTTAGTTAGAACTGAGCTTGTTTCTGCCTCTGGCTTGTAATACTTCTATTGGTATGTTATCTTTTCCTGGTGATGTATTCTTCCCTATTGCTATGCGTATGGCTTTCACTTCACATTCCAAAATTTGGGGTTCATCTTCATACATTTGTTCTTCCCATGGATTGTTTATCCTTTCACATTTTTATATAGCTCTTCTGCATATTATTTTCATCATTTTTAAAATTTTCACCATGGCTATGTATTATGTTCCTCTTCTGATTGTAGAGTATCCATACCCTTGCTTAAATTTCTCTTTGTATTCCTGGATCTTGTGGAAGAGTTCTCTTGTTCTTCCTTTTTTGTAGTTGGCTTCTATTTCTCTGCATTGATTGTTATAGTAATTGTCTTTGTCTTTGCACACTAGTCATCAGACAGTAGCATTCATGACATTGATTTTGTTCCTTTTCCCCTTTTCCTTTGTTTCTTGTCTTTCTTTAATTGCTCAAAGCATTTCACCTGTCATCCATTGTTTCTTCTTCTTGTTGGGTATAGTTATCATCTTTCTGCATTCTAGTTTAACTGTGCCCCTGAGTCTTAGTCAACAAAGTTTAATAGTGCATAGTATGTTTCTCACACTTAACTATGCCAACCATGCTAAAATATTATCAGGGAAACCTTCCAACAAAATTTAAAGAGTCTTCCAGATCATATTTTGTCATGGGTATTGATTTACTATTCTTCTTCAGCTTTATTCTAATTTTGGTTACTATTAGTTCATTATCTATGCCGTAGTTGCCCCTGGTTGCATTTTTGCCATAATGGAGTTTTTCTATCTTCTGTTCCCTATTGTGCAATCTGTTTGGTTTTTGTGTAGACCAAGTGATGTCCATGTTTACAGTCTCCTCTCCAGCTGTATGAAGAGGGCATTTGCAATGAATAGGTTGTTGGTTTTGCAAAACTCTTTGTCAGTCACTCTCATGGTTCATTTCTTCAACCTAGTCCAAATCTCCCTATGTAACCAGGACTGGGGTTGGGGGGACTGCTGCTGGCACAGCAGTGATAAGCATCCTCCCAGGAGCACAGTACAATACAACTCTAAGGGATTTCAGTCATTACAGATACATAGTTGTATAGTAAAAATGGCTGCTAGAAGAGGCATATGATGCGGAGACATATCGGGACTCACTCTGCATCATGCATTCAGGATTTACAGCAGAAAATGACTGAGGACAGCCTTTTTATTGAATACTTTGGCCTGAATATGGTTTCAGAGACAACCTCCATTTGAAATTTTCATTATATGAGGGAGAAAACAGCACATTTCTTCAGTGATTAAAGAAATACACTTTGCACTTGCTCAAAAGCCCTTTTATATTCCAGGACATAAAGAGAAAGCCAACATAGTTTAATGGTTTGAGTGTTGACTATGAATCTGAAGACCACGGTTTGAATCCCATTTTGGCCATGGAAACCCAGTGAGTGATTTTGGGCAATTCATATACTCTCAGCCTTGGAGGAAGGCAAATTTAAACCCCTTATGTACAAATCTTGCCAAGAAAACCCTTTAATAGGTTTCCCATATATCAGAATTGACAAGAAGGCACAGAACAACAAAAAATAGGGGTGCAGAAGAAACTGATGTTGACAAGAGAGCTATGAGCAACAGAATATTTATTTTCTCTGTTCATAATTTAAATGTATTTATACCCCTCAACCTGCATTTCATACAGGCACCAAAAGCCAAAGGATGAGTCCTGCCAGATCAAACTAAACCAGAATCCCCTTTCAGCTCTTGTATTTTCCTAAACACCCCCTTCCTGCCATCTAGTACTGGGGACCTCAGATCTTGTCTAGATGTTGTAAAATCTATCCGTCATAATCAGTCTCTCTCATCTCCCGAATATCAAAACAAACTCCATACTTTGGAAATCTTTCCCAGGTACTGTCATAGGGCAATCAAACTTGTGGCTTTCCATCACATGCTCCTGAATTAAGGGTATAAATATTATCCCAAAAATGGAACCCTTTTACTACAGTTGCAACAGCCTTCTTTCCCCTATGTGCACAATGACTGATATCCTCAGGCTTTTGTCCAAGCCCTTTGTTCCTGTCCTCTCCCAAAACCTCATGGCTTGGGGCTTTAAACGTCCTGGCTTTCTATGGACCTTGGTCTTCAGGACAGGTATCTATTGCTGCAATTAACCCCCAGTTTCTGCTCTCCCCTTTCATCTTTCTATATTTGGCTAGCTCTGTATGCTGGGATATGAATGACTTATCTTAGTGTATATGTTAGTTATTATTTTTCTTATTAAACATATTTATAGTTCTTCAAGCCTGGGGCTTCCATAGTGAGCATGGATATAGTTGGTGCTGGATCATGCATATTATGTTGCCCCTCTTGCACAGCCAAGTTGAGTTGCCTCCTAACAGAGAGAAGCCCTGCTGTGTTGAATCAAAACCCCACCTAGTTAGTAGTTTGTCTTCAATGGCATTCAATTAATTTTATGGTTAAGAAGAACAACATTTTCCTGCAAAGAGACTAACTTTAATAAATTTACTTCCATCAAACTTTTGTGGCATATAATGAAACATATTTTTTTCCTGCCAAGTGAAGTAGATTCCTTCATTCTGTAATTGAAGCAATTCTTTGCTTAATTTCTTTCTCTGAAAGCCCACTGAAGTAAAACTCAATCTTCATGCAATGTGTGCATCAAACGGGGAATAAACAGGGACTGGATAGAGTCCCAGGTATTGTAGTATCTTGATTTACTGCAGACATGCTTGGCTGATTACACCTACAAAAGAAATCCAAGTTATATTTATACATGATTTTGACAGGTGACTATTTTTATGCCCCTTTGCGTTGCTTGTAAAGTGTTAGAATTTATATAATTGCCAATTGTATGTAAGTGGTATAATGAAATTGGCATTGAGATGAGATTATATTTAGGTCAAGTCCATGGCAATGTCTTTTACTGTCTAAGTAGGAATCATTCTGAACTTGAACCAACACAAGGTGCTCTTGCTTCTGTGAGGCAAGGAAACAGATGGCAGCATGTGGCATTTTTCTAATATGCCATTTATGTATTTAACTAGCAAAATGAGAATCTATTAGAGGAAATAGTCTTTGCTTTCAGAGTATAATTAATTATACTTGTACATACACATACTAGTGACACGTTAATGGCACTTTCACTCCTCCAGTAGCCAGAAATTATAAAGCATTCATGCTGATCTAGTAATATTAGGAGACTACCTGCACTTTGCATAACTCAGTTGGATGTGGCAGCATTGCAAGTTTCTGAGTATGGCTAATCTGTATGGTGCCATACATTGTTAAATGCATTATAAGTGAGAAATAGTGTTTTAAAATAAAGAATAAATTGTCTATATCCTTAAAAACTCTTTCATATTTAACAACTGTGACTTAATCAGTTGTTCAGGAGGGTTAGCCCCACCTGTGGCATCACAATGCTGTAATTAGTTTTTTTATGACAAATGGTTGACAAATTTATTTGGTCCATAGGCTTTCTGAGCCTGTCTTGGAAGAGAGGAGTTGAATGGTCAGATGATGCAGTCCACTGTCAGAGTTCAAATGTGATGGGTTTATTATACCTGCTAGTAACTGTAAAGGTGGGTTTCAACAGAGCTTGCTTGTAGTTTTTTCATTTTCCAACAATGTATCCAGTGGAGGCTACTCTAAGTCAGTTAATCCACTCTGGGTGTTAGTCTGAATTTTAAAGGAATTATCCAAGGCACAGGTCTGTGGGGGTTCAGCCTCTTGAATTGCTTTTTTTAACTTCAGACTGAAATTCAAAAGTGGATTTACCATGCCACTGGCATTAGAACTAGGAACAATCAATGACTATATTGCAGCATAATTTCAATTTGTGTGTGTATGTGTGTGTGTGTTGTATGCCTTCAAAGTCATATATCATGGGGTTTTCTTGGCAAGTTTCTTCAGAAGGGGTTTGCCATTGCCATCGTCTGCTTATCATCATATTATAATTTCAATCTTTTTGCAGTATAACTGTAACTTTTATAGTGATGGGGTTGTAGAGTCACTGGCAAAGGAAGACTATCATATGGTTCATGTGCTTGCTTGTGATGTACCTCATGTTCTATCAAGGGTGTTGAGGAAACACCAGGGTGAACCACAGAGAATGTGGTTTATCCCCCAGACCAGCATTTTGAAGGATGCAGATGTTGTGGGAGATGTAACTAAAAAGAATCTATTTTATTACTTTGGGAAAATAGGAAATAAATACTTATTTTTACATTTATGGAAACAGTAATTAATTACTAGGTTGGAAATATATTTAATTGTTTTTTAAAGTAACTTTCCCACATTTGATTTTCAGCTAATAAGGATGGAAGTGATACCTAGAAGTATTCTAAACTGTGCCAATGGCTTAAAAGAATGTAGCTTCTTAAAATTCATGTCAGCACTCCTGAATTAGGAGGCTGTGATAACAGTACTACTTCTGCTGGTATGAGGAGCAGGAGATTAAAATTTTATTTCTCCATTTGTCCAAAGGGAGAAATAAAACTACTAAAAAGGTTGCTAGTTCCTACCACTCATTGTTTTTGTCTTTGAGTAGGTGGTTGTTATTAAGCTCATTGCCAGGCCGAGAGGCTGCAAATACAATCAGTCTGAGCCAGTGCCCTGGCTTGAATATCAGAATCTCAGGGCACGCATGTATAGATCTCCAGTATCAAACTATTGCCTATTAATTTCAGTGGAATGAACCCAACTGGGCACATTACTAATCATTGGAATGAGTAACAATATCTGTAGATTTCAGAATCAGATCCAAAATCACATATCTTGTTGTGCAAAAATGTGTCATGGTGTCTACACTGACTGAGATTGATTGTGCTCACAATTGATTTCCATAGCAAAAGCTTAGAACTAATTTTTCCTCATAGAACAGCTATAGGAAGACTAGACTTGTAGGGTCTCTATGTTTTTATTTAAGACTGAGGTCCAGGGAACAAGATGCAAAACAGTGTCTCAGAAAGTCAGACAGAATTGTGACTTATGCTTAGCCCAGAAAAGTTTTAATATGAAGAGTATGCACACAAGTGTTTTCATGCACAAATCTATGTCTGGGATCCCCCCCCCCCCTTGTCATGCATTCCTGATTTTGACAGCCTAGTTTAGACAAAAAGAAAGGTGTTTATGTCACTGTTTTTAAACCATAGAAAGTCAGAGCCCATTGGTGATCTATTGCAAATTACCTTGAAAGCTACACTCACTTCCTGATCTAATTTCTCCCTACCCATCCTCAACAGAAAAGCAATTAGAGACTTAGAGCCTGGTTTGTTGTTGTTGTTGTTTTGTGCCTTTAAGTCATTTCTTACCTAAGGTGAAACTATCACAGGGTTTTCTGGGGCTGAGAGGGTGCAACTTGTCCAAGGTTATTCAGGGGGTTTCTATGACCAACTGGGGATTTGAACCTGGTCCCCAGAATCAAACCACTATACCATGAGCCTGTTGACAGTACGTACAGTAACCTTCAAACAAAAATAACATTTTTAACAGTAGCTGAGTGCCTGCATTTGAATATATAGCTGTGAAGATGCTATATCTCCTGGTGCTACCCTCCAAAAACATACCTTTTCAACTGCACGGCCCTCAAAACACAGCCATTTCTGTGTGTCCAAAGAGTGAGGGCATGAACAGTGACATGTCTTTGCAAGGGGTCCTGAGGCTGCCTGTCACAGTGCACCTAACTAGAAGAAGAGATCTGGACCTGTCACTGCTCTTCCCCTCTTCCTTTCTGGCAATGTGGAAATAGTTGTGTTGGGATGCCACAGAACTTAAAAAGTAGGTTGGGGGAAGGGATTCGTAATTGTGATGGCTCAATGACTGTAAAAGTGAATTGTGATGTCATAAGTCAGACTAACGACATCGTAATTGCTGAACAGGATGTCAGCCAGTATGTAGTTGAATCTCAGAACTACTGAGATCAGCAATATTTAAAAAGCAGCAATAACATCTAAATCAATAAATGAAATGCTTTTAACTTAAAGCATTCTACAATCCTGGGCAAAGCAAACGGGTCTTTCTCTGGTATGAGAAAATTTGCAGTGGAAGGACCAGGTGAGTCTCTTTGTGGGGACAGTTCCACAGGAACTGTTTGGGTGAAGAACCCCTACTTTTGTCTCTGATCACTGAGATAACTTAGCAGAACTGCCAAGAGGGATTCCCAAGGTCAGATCTCAACCAGCTCCTGGAAGTGCTAACCAAGTACAGTTTTTCTGCCATCTTCTCTGCGCAGTTTGCAGACAAGTTTATCAGTAAGCACCAACATCTTGAACTAGAAAAGAAAACAAGAAGGCAATAAAATAATTTTATTCATCAACAGCATACTATCTTTCCTGTGGCTAGCCTCAGTTAGCAATTGCATTTAAAGTTGCTGTCAGCTCAACATAAAACATACTACAATAGTACAAATGGA